CTCAATGCACGCCTGCTTCGCCTCCCACAGCAAGTCGGCAGCGCATGCCTGCTTCCGGGCGGCGGCCCCGGTCTGGAGGCCATCCATCTTGCGACCAAAAGGAACGCTAGATAGGTCATCGTACTTCCACATCTTCGTCATTGGTCACCTTCGTTCTCCCCTTAAGCATGCTCTCTGCGCAAGCCCGCCGTGCTCCCGAAACAAATCCTCCTCCTCCCTCCTCCTCCTCCTCCTTCTCCTCCGTTCCTTCTTTCCTGCCTCCCTCCCTGCTAAAAGTTCATGAGTTCTGGCGTTTGCATGTTCGAAATGAATCGGAGGTTCGTTGGGCGTGGGTCGCTGCGTTTGCTGTTTCTGTTGTGTTGGGAGGGAGGGAGAGATAAAGAGAGAGAGAGAGAGGGAGAGGGATGAACTTGCCCTCTCCCTACCTACTTCCCCCATCTCCCTACTCTTCACGCTGCTCGATTCAAGCGTTCGCGCTCCCCTGAATCCCTCGCCGTCCCGTGCCTTGCCCGCTCTCGCCCGATCCGCAATGATCTCGGCGAGCATGCCGACACCACTACTGCCACGGCTGGATCCGATAAGAAACCATCATCTCAATGTACCCGCGGGGATCTGTCCAGCAGCAAATGTCTTCGAATGCGGAGTGGCGGCTCAAAAGGACTGGGGGAGGCGTCATGCAGCGCCGTTGACGATGATTCACAAATCAACTTACTGGCCTGCTCGTGGGCGTCGTCGTCGTCATCGAGATTCCCATCGCAGTGGTCGTCTTGAACCTGCTGCCCGCCAACACGTTTTTTTCCCCGGCGGCCCTCGCCCGCTCTCATGTTTCCTCCGCTCTCATGTTTGTTTGTCCGCTCTCATTGCGCTCTCATGTTTCCTTCCGTTCGAATTCCGCTCTCAGTGCCCCGCTCTCGTTTTTCTTATTGCCACGGATCCCGTGGCAGAACACCGCGGTTCCTCGCCTTTCTTGCCCGGAATCCGTGGCAAATAAAAGCGTGTCTCGTCACGCTCTCATTTGTTTGTTCGCTCTCATTCGTTCTGGACTGGTTCGGTTCATGTGCGTTTCCGCTCTCATTCCGATCTCATTTGCCCTGTCCGCTCTTATTCCGCTCTCATTCATTTTCCGCTCTCATCCCGCTCTTTTGTTTCTTGCTCGCCGTCCGCTCTCGTTCCCGGATGCTTGGATGAAGGAAAGGGGGGGCGGGGAAAAGGACGAGCGACTCAGTGAGGATATCGTCGACATGGCGAAATAAGTCCAAAGGCGAGCAACAGTAACTGGGACTAACTAGCTCAAGTCCGGACGAACAGAGGAGAGATGGTTTGTCAGAGAGAGGTGAGAGAGATGAAAGAGAGAGAGAGAGAGAGCGAGAGAGATGAGAGAGCGAGAGAGGAAAGAAAAAGAAGAGGATGCAAGATCAAGAGAGAGGCTCGAATGCCTGTCCAAAATCTGACCGGTTCGGTTCGCAGGAACATCCTGGAACCTTTAGCTGCTCCTCCGCACCTCCGCCCCCGCCAGTGACCGCCATCGACCCCTCCTCCAGGGTGGGGCACTGCGGAATGCACGCCCTGAGGACGGCAGCGGAAACCAGCCGTTTCCAACGTCCCCGCTGCTTGCAAGAGCAAGCAATATCCTTCATCGTCATCATCCTGTCCACCATCATCATCATCATCATCATCATCATCATCATCATCATCATCATCATCATCATCATCACCATCATCATCAGCAGCAGCAGCAGCAGCAGCATCATCACCATCATCATCATCGCTATCGCCATCACCACTACCAAAACCATCATCATCAGCATCATCATCATCCTCATCCTCATCGTCATCCTCATCCGCATACTAGTCCTCATTCGCTTACTCATTCACGAATTCGCTCACTCACACACTCACTCACTCACTCACTCACTCACTTTCGAACTCACTAACTCACACCCACACCTGAAGAAAATATCAGGCGGGAGCCTCGCCTGTGAGTGAATTGCGGGGAAATTCCAAACGGGAGCCCCTTCCCACTGGGTCCCGCGCCTCATGATTTTAATCGAGCGGGTCATTGGAAGCATGTAGCTGTCGTCATTTTCGGGCTTCTCAGGCCTGAATCTTGAAGAAGTATCAGGCGGGAGCCTCATCTGTGAGCGAGTTGTGAGGAGGTCTCAGGCGAGAGCCCCCTGATTATGGGTCCCGCGCCTCATGTTTGCAACCCGAGCGGGTCATCGGAAACATTTTTGCTTTCCTGCGGCTTGAATATGGGGGAAGTATCAAGCGGGGGCCTAGTGTGTAAGTACATTGCGAAGAAGTCTCTTGCGGGAGCCCCCCGCCGATGGGTCCTGCACCTCATGTTTGTAATTTGAGCGCGGCATCGGAAACTTTTAAGTGTCATCACTTTTGGGCTACTTACCTTTACGACCACCCTTCGGGTGATAAGGAGGTTCGGGGGGGGGAGGAACCAACGTCTCACTCGATCGGTCTCACTATCGATCTCAGTATCGGTCTCGCTCGATCGATCTCCCTCGATCGTTCTCACAATCGATCTCATTCGATATATCTCACAATTGATCTGACTATCGATCTCACAAACGATCTCACAATCGATCTCACAATCGATATCACATTCGGTCTCACTATCGATCTCACTATCGATATCACAACCGCTCTCACAATCAACGTCATCATCATCATCAACAACAACATCATCATCAACATCATCATCACCAACATCATCACAATCGGGACACCGTCCTCATCATCGACACCAACATCATCATCATCACGGGCATCAACATCATCGGGACACCACCATCGTCATCATCATCAGCACCATCATCACAATCATCATCATCAACATCATCATCAGCAGCATCGGGACACAGTCATCGTCATCATCATCATCATCAGCAGCATCATCATCGGGACACCATCATGATCACAATCGTTATCATCATCATCATCATCATCATCGGGACACCATCATCATCATCATCTCATCCTCATCATCGGCATCATCAGCATCAGCATCATCAACATCATCATCATCAGCATCATCATCGTCATCATCGGGGCACCATCATCATCATTACCAACATCAGCATCAACATCATCATCATCATCATCACCATCGGGACGCCATCATCATCATCAACATCATCATCATCATCACCATCAGAATAATCATCATCGGGACGCCATAATCATCATCAACCTCATCATCATCATCAACATCATCATCGGGGCACAATCATAATCAATATCATCAACATCAACATCATCATACTCATCATCATCGGGACACCATCATCGTCATCATCATGATTATCAACATAATCATCATGATCATCATCATCCTCACCATCGGGACACCATCAGCATCATCATCATCATCATCATCATCATCGTCATCATCATCATTATCATCGACATCATCATCATCATCGAGACACCATCATCATCATATCATCATCATCATCATCGTCCTCATCATCATCAGCATCATCATCATCAGCATCACCATCATCATCATCGTCATCATCATCAGCATCATCATCATCAACATCACCATCATCATCCTCTCATCCTCTCATCATCACCATCATCACCATCATCATAATCATCATCATCATCATCATCATCATCATCGTCATCATCATCATCATCATCATCATCATCATCATCATCATCATCATCATCATCATCATCATCATCGCGGGACACCGCGGGACACCGGCGGGACACCGCGGGGCACCGCGGGACACCGCGGGACACCGCGGGACACCGGCGGGACACCGCGGGCCACCGGCCGCCCGGAAGGGACTCATTTGGTCCGGCCGCGCCTCAGCCACACGGGACACCAGCGGGACACCGGCGGGACACCGCGGGCCACCGGCCGCCCGGAAGGGAGTCTTTTGGTCCGGCCGCGCCTCAGCCACAGGCGACTTTCTCTCGCCCGCCCACGCAGCTTCGCCTCGCCCGCACGGCACGCACGAACACGAAACCGAAATCGATTTCCCGGTAGGGGGGCTCTCCGTTCCACTTCGATATCACCCCCTCACCTCCGATGGTTGAATCTTGAGAAAGTCTCAGGCGGGAGCCTCGTCTGTGAGTGAATGTCGAAGAAGTCTCAGGCGGGAGCCCCCTCCCTGTGGATCCCGCGCCTCATGCTTTTAATCCGAGCGGTCATCATAATAATAATCATCATACTCATCGTCATCGTCGTCATCATAATCATCAGACTCATCATAATTTCCGTCTCCGTCGCCATCATCATCACTACCATCATCATCATGATCGTGATCATTATCATCATCACCATCATCAGCATCATCATCATCATCATCATCATCATCATCATCATCATCATCATCATCATCATTATCACCATTATCACCATCATCATCGTCAACATCATCATCATCATCATCATCATCCTCATCAAGATCGTCGTCGTCGTCGTCATCGTCGTCCTTACCACGGCTCTCCCAAGCCTGAAAACACGACGTGTCACACGTGACTGCCTTCCGTGCCCCCTCGAACAATGGCTGGCAATGTGGCGGGACGTGCCGCAGGCAGCTGGATATTATACGGTCTCGGCCCCATATTGACAAGTTCCTGGGGTGTGACGCAGACCTCTTGGGGCTCGTAGCGTACCTCCTCGGTAGTGTCGCGCGCCTTATCCTGAAGCAAGAGGGCCTAACGACGGGCCCCAAAGACGGTCCGAGAGCGCCCCGAAACGGCCCAAGAGCGACCCGAGACATCCAAGATCGCCTCAGGGCGGTCCAACAAGTCCCAAAAAGAGCTCCAATAGGCCGCCAAAGAGCGCTCCAATAGGCAACAATCATCGAACCCCCATAAAACATAAGATAAATTCGCATACTGCAGGTCCGTGCCGTGTCGACCCTGGCGTTGGTTCCTGACACCGCGCTGGATCGTTCAACCTTGAACGATCGGCCGTCTCCGCAACGTCCAATCGTTCAACATCGACCGATTCTGGGCCGCCGTCGGCGTTCAACCTTGAACGTCGGCGGCGGGGTCGCCGCCGGTCGACACGACGCAAACCTACCGTACTGGACTTTCCGGGCCTCCGACGCTGCAAAGCGGCCCAAGAGGACCCCAACCTCGCCCCTCGACGGCCCAAGAGCCCCCAAGAGGGCCTCAAAGCGGCCCAAGAGAGTCCCAAGACGGCCCAAGAGAGCCCCAAGACGGCCCAGGAGAGCCGAAGGCGGCCCAAGAGGGCCCCAAGCGGGAGAACACGAAGTGACAGTTCGAACCCTCCGCCCGAACATGCCCCCGAGACCGCCAGCAGGCCCCCAAGAAGCCCCAGGAGGTCCCCAAGAGGTCCAAAAGAGACCCGAGGGGCCTCCGAGACGCCCCCGAAGACACCCCCAGGCGCGGTGACGGGACAAGCCGAAAACTAATCTGTACTCTTCTCCTCTCTCTCCCCTGACGCTGTCTCTGATCTGTCCGGCCTATCCCGCACATGTCTCCCCGCCGTTTGTTCTCAACGTGCCCAAGCAGACGGAGCCGGGGCATCGCGGCAAACCCACGGCAAGCTCTGCGCCCGAGGCTGAGTCAGCCCTGGTGGCCGAGGCGCTCTCCCCAAGACGTAAGGCCGTGCATCGGAACAAACGGCGCATACGATTTCGTAGGAGTTAATTTTGTCGAAACGCTCTCGGTCACTTCGAAACATGTGGCGCCAACCGTAGCGTTGGCCACACTTGAGGATCGGTGCCGTGCCCCCGCCGCCCACCACTACTACTCCTCCTCCTTCAGCCACTCCACCTTCATCCGCCTCCTCCTCCTCGCACCCCAGCTGGCGGATAGAAAAGGATCCAGCGCAATATGAAGGGATGGTTGGCAAGGGGATGATTTCACTCATGGCGCGAATGAACCTAGCTCGCCTCTCTCCACTCACCTCTCCTCCCTCTTCCCCCCCCCCCCTCTTCGTCAGATTGTCAGGGCGGCCGCCTCTCTGGCATCATCAAACAATTGCTTACGACGCTGACGCTGCTGGTGCTTGAACTCCGCATTGTCTTGACCAGCGCCAACCGAACGAAAGAGGCTCTCGCCTGGCGGTCCGGGGCAGTCAAGGGGTGTGAAGGGCGATGGCTGCAGGAGCAAGAAGCATCGCGCGACTGTGTTCGCCACGCTGAACAGCCGCATACAAACGCACATTCCCACAGATGCTGAGGCGGACGAGATGCCCTCCGGAAGAGTCGCACCAGAGTAGCCAACATTGCTAGACAACGCCGCTTCCAGCAACGCAACCGCTATCAAACACATTGTTTCAAAAGCGCATCTGAGCAATTACATATCAGCCTGCGTGGACTCAAATAAGAGATTACGGCGTGCACGTGAGATAATGGACATGATGCGCGTAACCTGGCACCATAACTAATTCACCAATTCTGCAGGCGTGCAAACTACTGCAGCACTGCGATTATTAGGCATGCTCTCCTTCAAGACAGACCAGACCGCATCTGTCCTCGGCCACTGTCGTTTGCAAAAGACCTGAAACTTTACGACTTGGTGTGCGGTTGGGTGTGGCGCAACATACCAATAATATCCGCGACCTTACTGATGCATGATAATTCCTCTATCCGGAGTGCAATACCGGGCTGATCAAGCCCAGGTTCTTTCCTACGCGTCCTCATGTTGTTGATGGGCGCCATGCCCCACGATCATCCTACGTACCTATGAATTAACAACATATGGTGATCAGCCGTATCCAGCCCGAGCACGATTCCTAGCATAACGCACTATACAGTGAACATTGCTTTATAGGTGTTGCGAGTTCAGCGAGAAACAACATCGTGCAACAGTTATTGTTCCGATAATGTCTAGATGAAGCTCTTCAAGCACATATAAACAACAAACAGCTGTTCGTTCAACAGGCGCCATAAGCATTCATTCAAATCTTCAGTGCGCGCGCTAATGCTCATCAGCGATTCACTATCACGATGCGCATGAGTTCATCAACATGAGCGGCCTTCTGATGGGACTCAACAAACACATGGATGAGATCCTGAACTGTCAGACGAGAGGTCCATGATAAAGCATCCTGGGCAATATGTGACTGCTCGGACGCGAAGAGGTTCGAAGGAGGCAAGCTTTCTGATTGGGAGGGGCGGTGGGTATGATCGCGCCCCGCCATGCAGGGGGCCCTACTCCGCTCTACTTTGCAGGGCAGTGGAACTTGGGAAGGTGTGCGCAGACGCATGGCAAGCACAGAATTGCCAACACGGTACAAGACTCACGTTTGAGGACAACCATATGCACTAACTAGCTTAATTGAAGAAACTTCCTCGTTGATCCCCACCCTCGGCATGCCGGATTGCTCGAAAGACTAAGACATTATGCCAAGAACATGCACAAGACGGCACAAGACTCACGCTTGAGGATAACCATATGCACTAGCTTAGTTGAAGACACTTCCTCGCTGATCCTCACCCTCGGCATGCCGGTTTGCTCCAAAGACCAAGACATGGTGCCAAGAACATGCACAAGACGGCGCAAGACTCACGCTTGAGGAAAACCATATGCACTGGCTTAGTTGAAGAAACTCACTCGTTGATCCTCACCTTCGGCATGCCGGATTGCTCCAAAGACCAAGACGTGGTGCCAAGAGCATGCAAATCCGATACCGTGCCCCCCGGCACGTGGAGGCACACGGCCAGATGCCAAGCGCTGCGTGGCAGGGCCTCTTGTGGCCTTCTACGGAGCCTCCGCCCTCCGGCTGGCGCCCAGCCACAGGCGCATCTCCCGCCGCCCGCCTCCTCGCATCTCCCCCTCGGGGCTCTCCAGAACTTCCAGGATGGCTCAAGAGGGCGAGCACGGCCGCGAAGATGGCCCACCAGGCCTCCGAGACTGCCCCACACGAGCCCCTGTCAGCCCTGAGGCGGCCCAAGTAAGCTCCAGAACTCCGAATGAGGTAAAAACGAAGCATACTACATGTGACAGCTGTTCTCTTCCTTTTACTCCTCCTCAGCGTCATCTTCGTCGTCGCTATCGTGAGCATCACCACCACCATCACCATAGCCATCACCCTTCGAATAATCTCACACCGACGTGCTGGGCTGGCACGGTGGCAGGACTTGCCGCAGGCAGCTGGATCCGCCGCCCCCTGTTGATTCATCACAAGGGTGCCTGGCGTGCTAAACCCTCTCGGTTTTGGTCTTGGTTCTTTTTCCAAAAGAACTCTCCCAATGGGCTCTGGCGCGTCCCGCCGGGGTCCCCGGACGCTTGCCCAGAGGTGACTGCAAAGCCCCCAAAACGGCAGTTTCGCTCGGGACATCCTCAACAAATCACAAAGATGGCCCAAGATGGCCTGCAAGATGCCTCCAAGACAACCAAGATGGCCTCCAAGACGGCTACGATGGCCCCAAGATGCATCCAAGACGGCCCAAGATGGCCTCAATATGGTCTAAGACGGCCCAAAAGGCCCGCAAGAGGCCTCCAAGACGGCCCAAGACTGCCCCAGAGGCCCCCAAGGTCGTCCCAAGATCGCCCAAGAGGCCTCCAAGATGGCCCCAGAACGGCCCAAGAGGCCCCCAAGACGGCCCCAAGAGGGCGCCAAGACGGCCCAAGAGGCCTCGAAGACACCCAAGATGGCCTCAAAGACGGCCATGGAGCACCCCAAGAGGGCCCCAAGTCGGCCCAGAAAGGCCCCCGAAACGGCTTCCGACGGCGTCAGACGGGCCAGGAGCCCACCAAGATGGCCGAAGGTGGCTCGCAGCTGGCCCAAGACGGCCCAAGAGGCCTCCCAGAGGGCCTCCAGGAAGGCCAGAAAAGGCCCAAAAGAGAAAAATGTTCCGTAGGCTTTTGAAGGATTTTGACATTTGCTTCATTTCGGCCTTCCGACGGCCCGTTACGGCCCAAGAGCTCCCAAAGATCGCCCACGGATCCCCCAAGAGGCCTCAGAACGGCCCAAGAGGCGCCCAAGACGGCCCCCAAGAGGCCCCCAAGGCGGCCCAAGAGGCCTCCCAGACGCTTGAGATGGCCTCCAAGACGGCCCACGAGCCCTCCAAGACGTCCTCCAAGAGGGCCCAAAATGGTCAAAATGGCCTCCAGGCGGCCAAGATGACCTTCAAGATGCCCACGTGTTCCCCGAAGGCTTTCCAAACCGATTCGGGGAACACATGGTCCGATAGCTTGGCAAGTCTGGCCTCAACGTTCGGCCACATAGGCGCTTCCACAAAGGCAGGGGGCGGCGGTGATTCGCCGTAGGCGTCTTCGATATACAAAGTCAGATGGCGGCACCATGATGGACTGCGCGCCATATCGCACGGATCCGTGCACATGCGGTCGAACAAATTATCTGCAATTCGTCCTTGGCTGCTCCAACAGCCACCATGATTATGAAAGGGAAGAGGCAATGGATAATCAACCAAATGCTGGCCCATATGCTGACAACCGTAATCAAATATTCTATGCGTTGCCGCACCGCAATTCATGTGCAAGACCCCCCAGCCAAGGGCGGGCAAGACTGAGATTCCATGCTCCTGCTGGTCTGCCCCGCAGCCTTTGGTGTGATGGAATCTCGCCGCTGCTCTGTAAAGTGGCTGCTCAGACCAGAGCGCGAACAATACTTCGTTCTTGTTTGGAACACTAGAGGCCTCCTAGATGGGGTCCGAGTAGATGGGGTCGAAGGATCTCGCCGCATCGCCGATACATCGGCGATGCATCGGCGATGCATCGGCGATGCACCGGCGATGCACCGGCGATGCATCGTCGACGTGGGCGATGCATCGGCGCCGTCGACGTGAAGCAAATCGGGCCCTACATCGAGCCGCATCGGCGATACATCGGCGATGCGGCGCGATCCTCTGACCCCATCTACTCCGACCCCATCTAGGAGGCCTAGAAACACCGCTTGCACTTACAACACTGAGCAAAACGAAGACGGCGCCATCCTCGCCAACGAAGGACGATCCGTTCCAAAGTGCCGCCCGCGAGAACGCAGGCACAGTGACAACGGGCGAGCGCCCGAACACGACGCGTGGAGACGAACACGGCTCGCAAAAACAGCAGACCAACCTTTTGAGAGGCCTCCTGGACGGGGTCCGATGATCGATCCACATCGCTAATTAATGCATCGCCGATGCATCGGCGCCGTCGGCCTGGAGGACACCGGGCTCCGCGTCGAGCCGCAGCGGCGATGCCTTGGCGATGTGGCGCGATCCTCCGACCCCATCTGGTCGGACCCCATCTGAGAGGCCAAGAGCTTCGCTCGCGCCCAGACTTGAAGGGAAACTGGGACACACAAATAAATACACACAAATAAAATGATCCCCTATATTTTCCCATATTTTCTGGGTTTCTGTATTCCCCCCCCACTTCCCATATTTTCCCATATTTTCCTGGGGATCGACGATTAATTGTGTCTGTGTGTTTTTTTCCTCCTGAAAGAGCTTCGCTCGCGCCCAGACTCAGACCCTGCCCCCCCCAGATCCATTGCTGCCGCCGCAGGGCCGCGGGCCTGTCTGCCCTGGGGCCGCGCGGCCACGGTCCTGCCCCCGAGGAAGGCAAGCGCCGCGCAACACGGAGCGGAAGATTTCCTCCCCTCCCCTCCCCTCTCGTCCCCTCCCCTCCCCCTCGTTCGCCCCCTCCCCTCTCGTCCCCCTCGCGGCGCACCCCGAAGAAGATCACGCTCCCAGGGCCCTCCCGCCGCACGCTGCCTCTGCCCTCTTTCTCTGCCCTTCGTCCGTGCGTTCGTCCCTGCTCCTGCCTGCGCCTGGATTTGCTCCGCTGCGTCCCACCACCTCCCTCTTCGCTGGTTGGATCCAAGGAGGCCGCTGACCCAAACTGTCTCCTCGCCCATGCGGACGAAGGCTCCAGGAGAAGCAAGGGAACGTGTGATATGCAGAACCATCACCTTACCTGGCACCACGCCTGGCTTTATGACACATCCAATCTGCTCGTACACCTGCCGCATGCCAACCATAATAGGTCTTCTAGCTGCCCGAGGCAAACCAGGACTGCGCAAGATGGGACTTATTCTCTGGGTGAAGGGGCCGTGACTTGACTTCACTTCTCACTTCAACTTTGGCTGCCTCCACGCTGTGCGCTGTCCAGACGTTGTCTGCACACCAAGTTTGCACACCTGCACCCCAAATGTCAAGAAATTGAGAATGCTGCCAGCGACCGTGGGCTAGTTACGACGCGACAGCTGTTAATCAACATTATATCCCCACTCCCTAAGTGGCACAATCACACTTGGGTACCTCTTCAATACCTTTCCATCCAGTCCGTCCTCGATGAGCATGTAGGCATCGTCGATCCCGTCGCAATTGAAATTGCCGCACAGCCCTTCCTGGCGGACTGGGCGAGAACGGAGCGTGAGATACGGAACGGTCGTGGGCGAGCGAGGCATCACAAACCGACCAACTTGCGACCCTCCGCTTCGCGCCAAACCTTGCCAACATGCGGTGTCCATGTGCCTGCCGACGGCAGCATTTGACCAGACGCGCTGGCATGTCTGCTAGGCCGGCTGGTGATCCTCTCGACGCGGCATTTAGCATGGGGGAAGCGGGTCCTGTGGGAAAAAGGTCCTGGACACGGGTGCCTTCCCCCAGGACGCGCTTTTCGTCCTGAATCGTTTTCTGACACTGTCCCAGGGCCCTCGGAGGGCCCCGAGGGCC